AAAATGATTACCTCGTGACGGACCCAACCCATTTTCATCAAGTGACAAAAGGAGCTGGCCCAAATTTGCATGGAATGCGACAGTGCCGGCACCGTTATTTGTTGCGCGAGTTAACTGAAAAGCGCGCGCATTAAACGACCCAATAAACAGCAACGGATGGACGAGTACTGAGGACCCAGGCTCGAGGAGGAAATCGGGGTGGGAACGCGCGGCAGGAGAAGGACGCGATGGGGGCCGAAAAATCAGCGCGGCAGCAGCAGTGAAACGGTGGAAGGAGGAAGAGGACGACAACGAAAAAGGCGGGATGAGAAAGAAGGGCAACGCATTTTTCCAATGGCACGTTGGACAGGCAACGCGGCCCGCGCAATGTCTCTCTGGCGCTCCACAAAATCAGGTCTTTATAGCTCGTGCAAGAAGCAAGCGATTTCGAGCTCGCCCGCCAGTTTCCCCGCCTCATTCCTGCACCTTTTCGGCGTGGGAGGTAAACGCCCACAGGCGCGCTGCCAGGTCTGCGGGCGGCCCGCGGGCAAGAAAATCAAGGCTGGGAACACGTGCCATCAGCAGGCTGTTCACCGCTGCCGCACGGGACAACATCACGTAGAGATGCAGCACGAGGTCGTCGTCCATTTTCCGCGTCTTTGAATAAAAGGGGGGGTCGCCGTTTTGGGACACCTTTGGGAGCCCTTCAGGAGGCATTGGACGGTGTCAAGACGATACAGGCGAGAATCTGGAAAAAGTGCGCTCCACGTCGTGAACGGGACGATGTTTGCCCGTTGGGGCCCTGTCGGGGTTCCGTTGGGAGCACCCCTAGGCCGTCTTGGAGGCCTCGTGGGCCATCTTGAAGCCATCTTGGACCGTCGCGGACTACCCTGGGCCAGGCCAGCCGTCTGGATTGTCGCGGCGCTCTATTTGGGCCGTCTTGGGCCTTTTTCATAACCTCCGGAGCACCCCTGGGGTATGTTGATAAGCTCGTGCCCCCCCCCAAAAAAAAACTGGACATGGGCCCTGAGGAGGGCGCACCCCCCCCTCAGAACTGGACATGGGCCTTGGGGAGAGGGAAAAGAGGGAAGGGGACAGCCAAATGCCCCACACACCTTCTCATCCCTAGCAAGCGGAGGTCGCTGGATGTCAACGCGTCCTTTGGCTCCCCTCTGGTCCGCGCACGTGCGTCGGGCCATGACTTGCAGACCACACCACCCACTTAGAAACCCCAGTCTTGGACGCCCCCGAGATCACCTCACAGACATGCCTTCCCCACCCTGGGCAAGCGGGGGTCGGCGGATTCGGGTCCTCGATCGTGAACCCCTTGTTCACTCGCTGGCCCCGCCCGGTCTGGTGGAACGTCCGCAGCGCGCCGCCGTTCCAGCAGCTGCCGGGCGTCAGCTCGGTGCTGAAGACGGGCCAGGTCCCGGTGGCCAGCGACCTCAGCTTGCCCCTCCCCCTCGCCTGAGACCTTGGTGCCGTTTTTTCGCAACGGGCGATGTTGCCCCGTTTCGGGTCCTGGGGCCCTCATGGATCGATCCAACTCGAGGCTTTCCCGCAGACGGACGGGGTCCAGGGTTCTGGTCGAGTTTGTTTACGATTTTCTGCATTTTTCGTGATGTCGGAACTGAGGTCTCCCCCGCGGGCGGGGAGGCTCAGTCGTTGGTTCCCGATGGCGAGGGAGGAGGAGGAGGAGGAGGAGGAGGAGGAGGAGGAGGAGGAGAAAGAGGAGAAAGAGGAGGAGGAGGAGGAGGAGGAGGAGGAGGCAGAGGAGGAGGAGGGGGAGGAGGAGCACAGGAGGAGGAGGAGGAGGAGGAGGAGGAGGAGGAGAAGGAGGAGGAGGAGAGGAGGAGGAGAATGAGCGGGAAGAGGAGGAGGAGCAGCAGGGGGAGGAGCAGGAGGAGCAGGAAGAGGACGAAGAGGAAGAGGAGGAGGAGGAGGAGGAGGAGGAGGAGGAGTTGGAGGAGGAGTTGGAGGAGGAGTTGGAAAAGGAGGAGGAGGAGGAGGAGGAGGGGGTGGAGGGAGGAGGAGGAGGAGGAGGAGGAGGAAGACGAAGCAGACGAAGGGCGGAAAGGAAGACGAGCGAGGAGGATGGAGAAAGAGCCACGGGCGAGGAAGGGAAGGAGGAGACCGTCGAAGAGGAGGAGATGGTCGTCACGAGACAGTCAAGGTCCTCGGTGGCAGCTCGGCCATAAACCGAGGGCTCCACAGCCGTGGCGGCACGCGCGAGCTGGCCGAGGCGCTGGGCTGGCCAGAGGCCGAGGTGGCCGCGGGCTTCCGCCGCGTCGACGCCCGCCTACGTCAGGCCGGGCGGGCGCGCCGCCGCGCGGCGCCGGTGCTGCACGGGCGCGCGCGCGCGGAGATGCGGCCCTTCCTGCGGCTCGTCGCCGCGGCCTTCGAGGGCGCCGGCGTGCCGTTCCGCGCCGCGGACCCGGCGGGCGCGCCTGCCGAGGCCGTGCACGGAGTCCACGGGAGCACGTGGCTCTCCCTGGCCTGCCCCAGAGGGGCCGCCGCCGGCCCCGCCCACCCGCGCACGGCGGCGGAACTGTCGCGGTGCGCGCGGCAGAGCGCGTATTCGGGGTTGTCGGGAGCCTTGCGACGGGGGTCAATGCAGACGGGGATCAGCCAGAGCGCCGGATCTTGCAGGATCCTGCATGGCCAGGGTCGCACTGGCCCGGGTTTGGTTGCAGGATCCTGCAGGACTTTGCGGGATCCTGCAGGGCCAGGGTCGCATTGACCCGGGTTGGGCGCAGGATCCTGCAAGGCCTGACTGACCCGGGTCTGGATTGACCCGGGTCAGCAGATCCCTGAGGCTGGTGGCGCCGCTGAACCGGTCGCTGCCGAACCTGGTGGTGCGCCCGCGTTCGCTGGTGACGGGGCTGCGCTGGGGGCGGCGGGGCCGGGCGGGCGCCTCTGGGCTCCAGGCCGCGGGCGCGGAGGTGGTGGAGCTGCGCGGCAGCACGGAGGACTGGCGCGAGCGGGAGGTGGACGACCCACCCGTCGGTTGGGCGTTGAGCTTCGACGGACTCGGGGACAGGTGAGCGACGCCAAACCAGGGGGTCGTCTACTTGTCTACTCCGACATTGGCGCGCAAGCTGCCCGCGCAAGGTCGCGCAGAAGCGCCCTCGCTTCAAACGTGGCGTGACGCGCGGGCGGCCCGCGTAAGCAACCGCGTAAGGTCGCTACGTCATCTCGCGTGAGGTCCGGTTTTGATCGGCGCTCCGGTGTCGGGACGATCGAAATGGGTACGGAACGAATGGGGACAAAGACCGAGAGCATTCCTTGCCCCTTTTGAACAGAATTCGCGGTCGATGTCCTGGCGGGCGTTGCCGATTTTGGGCAGAGGGCCGCCTGCCCAACAGCGGACGCTGTCGGTGCTGGACACCTTGTGTTGTTGGGCATCGTACCCATTGTTTCCGTACCCACTGCGGGCGTCCAAGAGGTGGGCCAGCCGCATCCAGGGGCGTTACCACGTGGGTATCCGCCGCGCGGTGGTCGCCGCTGCGGGCGCCGTGGGCTCACCGGCTCTTCTACATCGGAGCGGCGTGGGCCCCCCGGAGGCCCTGAAGTTGCTGGGCAAGACGCTGCGGCTGAACGCAAGCGAGGTGGGCCAGGGGCTCAGGGACCGGGTGGTGGTGGCCACGCACGTGTCCACGAGGCTGCCGTGCAGCGGTGAGGCGCGCTCGAGCGACGTGCCCCTGCTCTTCGCCTTCTTCAACTTCTCTGGCCCGAACGTGCCCGGGGCCACGGGCCCCTCAGAGGCAGAGCTGAACATGCTGGACGACTGTGTGGACGGCTTCGAGATGTGGTCGCTGCGCTTCATACTGCAGCGCACCCTCGGATCCGGCCAACTGCACGTCCGGTCCCCGCACCCGCTCGTCTCCGCGCAGGCGGAACTGAGCGCAGGGCCCGAAGACCTTCACCGAGTGGTGGCCATGCTCCGATGGTTCCACGAGCGCGTCCAGCTCAACGAGGACGTGGCCGCTCAGATCACCGCCCTCGCCCCCAGCCTGGAGGACTTCCAGAGCGACAGGATGCTGGGGCGCTTCGTGCGGAGCGGCTCGGCATGGTACCTGCATCCGTCCGGGTCCCTCTCGGCGGGCGCGGTCGACTCCGACCTGCGGGTGCGGGGCACTGGCAACGTCTACGTCGCCGATGCCTCGGCCATGTCGAGGCTGCCCACTGGCCACCCGGACGCATCCATCAGGATGTGGGCGGCTCGCCTCAGGGGGGGACGAGAGAGAGGAGGCAGGTTCCCTTCGAGCAGGGGTTCGACTACAGAATCGATGTACCCCCAAATTGATGTCCCGGTCGAACATACGAAAGATACGTAGCTTGTCCGTAGAGTTTCGGAACAGCTCACGTAACGGTCGTGGATTCCACGGGGAGAACGGTTCTGGGGCAGATCAATGCCGCAGTGGAGCCCCCTTGTTCGACCCCTCGAGAAGGCGCCCGGGGGCTCCTGCCCCCGGAGGAGGCTCGAGGAGCACCCTCTGGAGGCCCCCGGGGGTCTTCCCGGCCTGCCGCGCGGGCCCGCCGCCTCGGACGTCCCCCCGTGGGCCGGGTCGGAGGGCCGAGCCCCCGTGGTCTGCAAGAGCAGAGCCTGGGGGCTGTGCCCAGGTCGGGCAGATGTCCCTCTGCAGGAGGGGGATTGGGAAACAGTTCTTAGAAACTCGTCTAGGGACGATGCTTGACTGTTTTTACAGGTGTGTCTTGTTCCTATGCTTCCTCCCAAATCCGCCTGTAGGAGGACACGCCCGACCTGAGGCTATGCCAAATACCGCTCTCACGTTCTAACCACAAGCGTCTAGGCACATTGGATGTCGTTACATGTGTGGACATGTCTACAGGCAAATCGGCCATTGCGTTCGGCGCAAGGTCGGAGAAAGGGTAGATCCGTCTGCGCATCGCCGATACCCTCACCCCACCCCGCCCAGAGGCATGCGGATTCTCACTCTCGAGGACATATCGCCGATCTACGGCGATGTATCACCGATTCCAGATTGATGTTATTCCCCCTCTTCAGCCCCCCACATGAGCGACGCAAAAGAAACGGGGTAGTTTGCGCCAACAGCGGCGCGTGAGCTGCCCGCGTAAGGTCGCGCGTAAGCGCCCTCGTCTACATTGTAGCATGCCGCGCTGGCGGCCTGCGTAAGCCACCGCGTACGGTCGCTATGTCATCTCGCTTCAGAGCCGTTGCTCAGCGGCCAGCCAGGGGGGGACGTGAGAAGGGGCGTGCCTTCTCAGAAGTCTCGGGAGTTCCCCGGCCTTCCGAGAAATCTCCTGAGCCTCCCCCACAGACACCGAACATTTCTCAGAGGGCGCGAGGGCTTTGCGAAGCCCCGCCGCCTTCTGAGAAGGCCTCCTCCTTCTCACTTCCGCCCCTCGCTCGCCGCCGAGGTGCTATAGGAAGCGCAGGGGAACACGAAAGCCAAGAAAAAAGGCGAGCAGATGGGGAATCCTGGGACTTGTGCCTACTTCATGGTGTGCCCCTGGGCCCTTCCACTGGTGCTCCAACCCTTGGGCGCCGCCGAGGATGCTCGGCGACGCGCTCGCCCACCGCCTCCTGCGGGGAAGGCGCGGGCCCGCGGCCGGCGCGCACGAGCCGAAGCGCGGCGCGGCCAGCGCGGCCGGCGCGCGGCGGAAAGCCGCTCGATGCCCCCCCCCCCAGCATTCGGACGGTGCTGGGACTGGGTCTCTAGGCCTTCCAGATGGGGTCGGAGTCGATGGGGTCGGAGGATCGCGCCGCATCGCCGATGCATCGGCGATGCAGCTCGATGTGGAGCCCGATTTGCTTCACGTAGACGTTGTCGATGCATCGCCGACGTCGACGATGCATCGTCGGTGCATCGCCGATATTTCGCCGATATTTCGCCGATGTATCGACGATGCGGCGCGATCCTCCGACCCCATCTACTCCGACCCCATCTAGAAGGCCTCTGAGTCGGGCATGTCCCTCTTCAGGATGAATGTTCAAGAACAGTCGAAACAAATTGTCTGGTGACGATGTTTCGTGCCCGTGTGACTCTTTGGGATTCTGTTCTCTAATTATTGTTTGTCCTCCAATATCCGCCTGTAGGAGGACATGCCCGACCTACGGCTGGGACGAGGATACAGTCGGACCGATGTGCAAGATCGAGGTCGGTTCGGGGAGGGTACCCTGATGTTCTTCGTGTTTGTTGGATGTTCTTGTGAATCCTGGGAGAGGGTACCCTCCAGTGCTCTTCAATTTGGCCGGCGGAAGGTCTCATGTTCTCGAAGGATGTTATTCTGCCCTAGGACGGATTGTAAATCCCCTCCAGAGCGTTCCGAGACGCTCTCAGAGCGCTCGCGCTCTGAAACGCTCTGAGAAGGCCGCGGCGCCCGATACACCCTCCAGAGCCGCCGCATCGCAGAGATTCTCGATTTGTCCTCGATTGAAGTGTGTCCTCGTCCTGGCTTCGTCTTGAGCACTCGCCGGCGGCCCGGGCGGAGTTCGACGGATCTCTCGGTGGAGGGCCGTGTGATCGGCGGCGAGCCCGGGGGGGGAAGTGGGAAGGAGAAGGCCGTCTCAGAGGCTTTGGCATCGCTCGGACGTGTGCACTCTTCCTTCTGCGAGAACAATCGAGGAGCACCTTTGATCATTTGGCGAAAAAACCACGCACCAAAACTGAAAAAACACAGGGCATGGACGTCCATGCGATGGCCAGGAGGGCTCGGCATGCTCCCAGCCTTCTGAGAAGTTTCCTAAGCCTTCCCGAAGACATATCGGGGGCGGACAGACCTCCTACCCTGACAGTTCGATTCAGGAATTGGCCGTCAAGGTTCGCGAGAGGGCGTCGCGGCCGTCATTTTTGCGGGTCCAGGTCCGTCGGTTTCGGTCCCAGGCCGTTTTCACTAAGGGGAGGTCTACTAAAGGGAGGTTTGTCCGCCGCCGAACATAAAAACCTTTCAGAAGGCCCGAGGGCTTCTGAGAAGCCCTGCCGCCTTTGAGAAGGCCTTCTCCTTCTCACTTCCCCCCTCGCTCGCCGCCGAGTGTGAGCCACCAGTAGGTAGCTTCCGGGGGGCCCCTTTTCGCCACAGCTGAACGCAGCTGGGAAAACTGGTGCGTTCGGACCCCAAGAGGGGTCTGGGGACCGATCCTGAGCCGATCTCGAGTCCTTCAATGCACACGTTCCCTGGTCCTCCCTCGTCCGCGCTTCCTGCCTCGGGCCATGATGATTTACAGACCCCCCTTTTCCGCGCCCCCCTCTTGGATGCTCCCGGTCCGACCGATCCGATGCGGTCCGATGTTTGCGTGGCTCTGTTGCGCATCCCAGCGCGACCGGCACCCCATCCGGTTCCGTCGCCGTGCCAGGGCGGCCCGATCCGACCCAAGCTCTGGCGGCGAGCAAGGGGGAGAAGGGAGAAGGAGGAGGCCCTCCCAAAAGGCGGCGGAGCTTTTTTAGAAGCACTCGGACCTTCTGAGAGGCCTTCCGAGCCTTCTGAGACGGCCCGCCCCCCCTTTCTTCCCCCTGGGCCAGCCGCCGATTCTTGGTCGGGGAAACGTGAGACTCGAGTTCGCCGGAATTCGGGTTTGCCGAAGCGTTTTGACTGGCCCGTCCTGACACTCGACAGTCCAAGTTTCGAGAGACGTGTGCAGAGGAGTTCCCTTCAAATGTCAGGATGCTCCTCGTCATTTGCTTGAAGGCAGCGGCAGACCCACCCGAGTCCCCGAACCCGAGCCTTACGTCTCCCCCACTACACGGCCTCCAATCGGTGTGGTCTCCACATCGACTGGTGAGTCAGTGGGGATTCAGGGCCACCGCACGGTTTTGGCTCTCGGGTTGCTCTCCGATGATGTCTCGGGCGATTGGTCCAGGGTCCCAGAATCGTACGGTGACAGGCTGCGCGGTGAGGTCTCTTGGGATTTCGAGGCCCCCCCCGCGGTCTGTCACCACGGTCTTGGTACCCCCAAGATCCTCAGCACGTGTGTTAGCCCAATGTTTGTGTGTGTGTGTGTGTGTTAAAACGCTCGGCCCCGTCCGCTGGTGGCACCCAGCCTGCGACAGCCCTCACCACACAGCCTGCGCCGTCTTACGGGGCAGTTTGGTCGACGAGCCCGCCCGCCGGCGGCGTTATGCAGCAGACCGTTGCTGCGTTCGTTTAAGTTCTGGTACCTACAAGAAATTCAGATCCGCCGTCTTCGAACGTGAACGAATTTCAGTCAATGGGTAAGCCGCCGGGTGCAAAATAGAAATATGGTTGGCCATCGTTCGCGTATGGCCTTTTCGTACGCAAGTCGTATTGTTTACAGAATTACGGCCAGCAGTTATAGAGACCCGTGGGTGTTTTTTCATCCAAATTCATCGGTGCAGTGACGGAAGCCCGCCCATGCAATTATAGAAAGTTGTGTTATCCCCTATATATATATTGCGATCAACATTGCGGGTGGCCAACGAATGCAATGCGCAACCATTTGAGGAAATTATCTTGCACAAAATCGATGGGACGTGAAGTTGGACGTACCCTCTCCGATCAGCACAAATAATTGTTGTCGCTTCGCGAATCCCCACCAGCCCATCCAGAAACGATGCCCAGAGGAATTGCCTCGATCAGAGAAGTGGGCAGCACACAGAGGAAGCCATTATGAGACATCTTGGGATATCTTGAGCCATCTTGGAGGTCATTTTGGGCTCTCCCAGACGCTCTTGGAGTCATCTTAATCCGTGCCCCCCCCCAAGAGGCCTCCATGTGGCTAAAACCTGTGTAGAATCAATGATTAGGCATTCTCGCCGAGGCCTCTTGGAGCATCTTGGGTGCATCTGGGGGGGCTCTTGGGGCCTCTTGGGGGTCTCTTGGGGGCCTCCGGGGGGCCTCTTGGGGGCCTCTTGGGGCCATTTTGGGGCCATCTTGGGACCTCTTGGGGCTTCCTGGGCGCTTCTTGGGGCCATCTTGGAAGAGATCGATCAAACAAGAGGGGGGGTTCAATTAGCGCCCCCCCTCGGAAGCCCCGAAGAGGCCAAAATCGTCCCAAAACCTAAGGAAAATCAATGATTTTTGCTTTCTCGCCTTTTCGCTTCCGGACGCTCTAACTACCCGCGGCCCCCCCCGTCCAGGTCCAGGGGAGGGGGTAGGGGGAGGGGTAAACCCCTCCCCAAGGGGGAAGAGGGAGGGGTGGAAGAGGATCTGTTCTAGACCACCTACGCCCAGAGGGCTGGTGGGATTGCCCCACGAACGATGCGACGTAAATATTAGTTGTTTGTGGCGATCGCCATGTGATACCCCCAACGTTGTTTGTACACGTTTTAAGGTATTATGCCAAAAATGTTGGGCTACCCAAAATACACCAGATTCCTAAAGCAATGATCTACCGTTTTTTCCTATCCAGGAGGTTTGCTTGCCAGTAGATTGCCGCCCAATCTGTTTCCTTCGCGTGATGGCGTGATAGAAAGGCAGAAGCCACGCGCCTACACGGCGCATCGGCACGCAAAATGTTTTTGAGTTTTGCGTTGGGACGCGTGGGCGAACACGCCAAGTGCGCGTAAGAATATATGGGGGCAGACGCGCCAAATCCGCACCGAAAAAAACACAATGTACGCCAAAAGGCATGCCGGCACAGGGAAGGGAAGTGGGAGCGGACACGAGGCGGAGGAAGGGGAGAGGCCAGGAGGGGAGGCAAAATTAGAGCCCACCTATTTTCCATGCAATCGCGTACACAAGCTTGTTGTTTGGGCCTCCCAGACTTGGGGTTGAATTCCCAGTTCTTAGGTTCGGCATGCATTTTGAATCCGAAGCAGACGGTCAGAGGGTAGGGCGCATACGTTTTTGTATAGTTTAATCTGCCGATCAGGCAATGGCGTTCAGACGGGGGTTGGGCTGTTGATTCCAAGATTTCCGCATTGGGTACTCTCGAGATGAACGAAGTAGGGATGGACATGATTTTTCCTAGGCGGCGCGCGTGGAAACCGTCCAAACGACGTTCGTCGGTTTGCAGCGAGCATATGGATTCGAGGTTTTGTAAAAGTTGTGGCAGCACGATCGCACTATATATTGTTGTCGCTTCGCGAATCCCCACCAGCCCATCCAGAAACGATGCCCAGAGGAATTGCCTGGATCAGAGAAGTGGGCAGCACACAGAGGAAGCCATTATGAGACATCTTGGGATATCTTGAGCCATCTTGGAGGTCATTTTGGGCTCTCCCAGACGCTCTTGGAGTCATCTTAATCCGTGCCCCCCCCCAAAGAGGCCTCCATGTGGCTAAAACCTGTGTAGAATCAATGATTAGGCATTCTCGCCGAGGCCTCTTGGAGCATCTTGGGTGCATCTGGGGGGGCTCTTGGGGGCTCTTGGGGGTCTCTTGGGGGCCTCCGGGGGGCCTCTTGGGGGCCTCTTGGGGCCATTTTGGGGCCATCTTGGGACCTCTTGGGGCTTCCTGGGCGCTTCTTGGGGCCATCTTGGAGGAGATCGCTCAAACAAGAGGGGGGGTTTAATTAGCGTCCCCCCTCGGAAGCCCCTAAAATCGCCTCTTGGACCCCTCTTGGAACGCTCTTGGAGTGCTCTTGGGCGCTCTTGGGGCCGTCTTGGGGCTCTTTTGGGCTCTCTTGGGGCCCTCTTGGGCCATCTTGGAACCATCTCCAGGCCTCGGATGGCCATCGGAAGCGAAAAGGCGAGAAAGCAAAAATCATTGATTTTCCTTAGGTTTTGGGACGATTTTGGCCTATTCGGGGCCTCCTTGGGGAGCTGTTTGGCCACTTGGAGTTATCTTGGGGCCGTCTTTGGGCTTCTTGGAACCATCTTAGGAGCCATCTCGAGCGATCTTGCGCTATATTGAGCCATCTTGGAGCTCATCTTGGGTTCTCTGAGGCGCTCTTGTAAAGAAGAAGAAAAAAAAGAAAAAAAGGAAAAAAAAGAAGTAAAAAAAAAAAAAAAAAAAAGGGAGGCGTCTGGCCATCCCTGGGACGCTCTACCTACCCTCGCTGCCCCCCGTCCAGGTCCAGGGGAGGGGGTAGGGGGAGGGGTAAACCCCTCCCCAAGGGGGAAGAGGGAGGGGTGGAAGAGGATCTGCTCTAGACCACCTACGCCCAGAGGGCTGGTGGGATTTCCAGTTGTGTTTCGGTATGTTCGGATGGGACCAACTTCATCGCTTTGAAAATTCTTTCCGCTTCTGCTAAATTATGGTCTTGTGGGCGCGTCTGCGCTGATCAAGCTTATAAGGTAATTTGTTAGTTGCATTGTTTTGAGAGGTTCCCCGTTCCTCGATATCAGTGCTCAGAAGTATTCGTAATGCATTGTTGTCTTGAAGAGGTCCGTGGTAAGAATGAAAAGTAGTTATTAGATAATGGCCATCATTATTTCCATTTGTTTGTCGATGTCAAAAGACATCGCCGATTGATTAGTTTAAACCAGATGAGGCAGAGGCGAAAGCCGAGTCGATCATCCGACGCACAATGGAAAGAATATGCATTGTATGTTTGCCAGGTCGGAAATCGTTAAATCGTGATGTAGATGTCGCTGATGTGATCAAATTCTTTATGTTTTTAGATTCTGCGCAATGAGAACTTGGCAATTTCTGACCAGCACGCGTTGCAATCGTAAGCCATTCGTCTTGTTATTTTTTTCATGTCTGTGCTGCAGATCTATGTCCACTTGAGTGTAGTAGAATGAATTATCTTCTATTGCGTCCATGGGGATGCGGCAGTTCCATAGCAACGTCTTGGACAAAACGCAGCGCGTGAATTCATCTTCCTCCTTTTTAGTTAGTATTTCCGGTTCTTCGTTTTTGTTGTGTTCACCGTTTTTCTGAAATGTATTATGAATTGCATTTGATTTTTGGAAAATGTGATTCTGTCCACCAGTTGATTACCACCCTGGCGACGTTTTTAAATAGTTCCAACATTAAACCCGTACAACAAAATACGGCCTATGCAATTTTGATTTTACATGTTAAATGATGTTCAGCGGGTATTATATTACACGAATTCACGATTGAAATTCGAATAATTATTCGATTTAACGATATCCCTAACTCTGCAGCTTTCTTAGCCTTATGCCGTGCATCCCATACCCGTGATGAACGCATAATTTGCTAGACATACTCAAAACATGGTATTTGTGTTTAGATTCACTCTTTGTTGTTGTCGTCTCTTTCTATTCTTTTCGTATATACTTATATTACATGATATTATATCATGGCATGGCATGCCATGATATGTTATGGTTCATGACTACGTCACTGTATGGAATATCGGTTGTCATAATCATCATGATATGGCTTGTTTGGTTCGCTGCTTCGTGTTATTTTATACTACGGGCATTCAGCTTAGATCTTGATAGCGTTGGTTAATGATATTGTTGATAATGATGGTGGGTAATGATGATAATCATAATGTTGCTGAAATCAATTCTGGTAATGGTAATGATGCCTGAATAAACACCCCCTACAACACATAAAATTCAACACCCCCAGCAAGAACCGCAAAAACAATTGTTTTTCCCATTCGCGTCAAAATGGAAGGGTTGTCTCTAACGTTTTTTTTGCCTCGTGTAATACCTGACATTTTACAATGTTGGAACACATTTACAAACATGCGAGCGAAGCGCTTGTGTTTGTTCAAAGGACGCAGATTTTTTTGAGGACATTTCAAACGGTTTACCAATTTTTCTGCCCTGAGGGCAGGGATCCGCTTCAGGATTTCACAAGAAGTTTCTACAGGTTCCAGGAAGCCCTCGGAGGCCACACTCATGGCACCAACATTCACCGACATTACAGACAAAGTTTCTTCAGAAATTAATACGGTGGGCTATGAGATCGAAGTAAATGTTGGACGGAGTTTTGGCAAAACTTGAAAAAGAAATTAAAATAAATCTACGTGAAAATCATTACGTTGTTCGTTCGCTGTGTTGGTCTTTTCCATGCACACAAATCCTTATAAGCATTTGGTGCAATTGTTCTGTGACGCTGGTAACACACGTGGTACACGTATCGAAATGCCACAAAAAATGCAGCAGGCACCAAAAGGGTGCGGGAGGCTAAGGCCCCAGAGGACCGCAGGAGCACGAAACATTAAAAATATATATGGCAAGTTATACGTACCGAAGAATTGCGAAAAAAATCTGTTGTAGAAAAACATGGGATTTGGTGACCTACATATTCTTGAACCTCGCATGGTAATTCTACGTAACCACCAAGTCACGCATTCTACATTAAAGAAATTTGCGAGGACACAGGAGAACGCCCTATCCGCGCCCAAGGAATTGTAATTTTCCTAACAAAGGCGACGGGACCGAAGGCAATAATAGAAATACCCATTTCCAGCCTCTCAAACAATACTTTACACACGAAGACGACCGATGTCAGGCTCACAAGAAATTTCTCACGGAAGATGGCCAGGGTATCCGCCGCGAGCCCAGTTTATTGGTCGCCGCCTTAGTTGGCGGGGTATTCACATCGTCGGCCCATAATATTGGTATATCACATATTAAACATCTGTTGAGATCGATTTTCGATCGACTAGATACACGTTTGGATAACGATAGCGATCATTTGCACAGTCGGTACGTCACCATCGTAAACTCGCCGATAAAATCATGCCGACATTACCCATGCCGACATTACCGGTGCAATGACACGGAAAAGTTCCATTTCGACGATGATGCGGAAAACCACAACCACAATACTTTTGAATACGGCTAACACTGCACCCTTATCAACAGCATTGCAACATCCACCATCCCGACTTCAAGTATAGCATTACACGTCTGATTTGGTGTTCGCCTCCAGCTTCTGATGGCCGATTCCGCACCCGACTGCAATCCCGATTCCAGCATTTCTCACCCCGCCCCCGCTGCATTTCGATTTCCGACTCCAGCTCTCGACCAAAGTCCAACTTCCTACCCCATCTGTGTCCGCGGGGGGAATCCGGTTCTCTCACTGTGTTACGGAGGATCCCAAGGGTTTGGGCGCGGTAAGTCCAGTAACATTTGGGACAAGATCCAACTCCAACGAGATTTCTGGCAACAGCTCCTATGGCGCCGAGAGGGCTGCCGGTTCCGACCTCATCGAGCACAATCATATCGGCCAATATCTCAGCAAGGCACTTGTCACCGCAACTACAAGGTAAACGCAAGTAATAAACAACATGAAAAAAGATCCCGCTGGCCCAAAAGGTTCGTAAAAAGCTTATGGCATCTCCGAAGCTGGTGCCGACGAAAGCCCCATTCCTGCCGAACCCCTTGGAATGCGTGCAATATTTCTTCGGGCGAGCGTGCATCCAACATCATGGTCCGCAAATTGCATCACTCCATCCTGACTCTGGTTCCCCATCCGCATAACCAATGAACAAATGGGCCTTGTAGTGGGATCCGAGAAGTAACACAGAAATAAGCAACCCGACGCCGACCCACAACACCAAGACGATAAAAGAAGCATCACGACGTTTACGATCAACGCGACGATGGGCAGTACGGCGATGACAACGACGAGCACGACGGCACTTAGCTCGCCGATTTCGTTGATCCTCCTACTCCAGCTTCCGACCATATTGCTCATCAAATTTCGAGGCCTGTTCTGGACCGTGCTCCAGTCACCGACTCTGTCGCCTCCCTGGCCTGGGTCTCCACCTTTTCCGCGTATGCTCCGACCCAGGTCTGAGAAAAAAAAAACCCAGGAGCCTTGCACAACGTCTCCGAGAACGTGGCTGGCGGCGTCAACGCCTCCGATGGCGGCTCCCGCACAAGTTGCCATTGCGAGAAAGGATATTGAATAATACCAGCATTGGTGGTACTTCTGCGTTTGGTATATACGAGTATGGTGTTCTCACTAATCAAAACCACTTACGGCGACTATTCTGGCCTCCCCGTACGGTACCACTGCTCTTCTACTACACGTGTGTACGGGGCATCGTCGAAATCTACGGGATTGCGTACCACACCCTTGTTGAACAGGATCGCACCATACGCAAGCAAACGAAGTGGGGAGGTACTGAACCCAGGTCCACTTGGCCTGCACCGGACACTGCACCTCTTGGGGCTGCGACCATCGAGCAGACGACATACAGACAGCAATTGAGGTCAACAGCACGCGCCACAACAAATACCCAAAACACAACCACCACTTACTACGAGGCCTCACGGCCCGCCTCACCCTCCACATCGCCCCAGCGTAAGTCCTTACCCATTTGTCAATCCTATCCCTATGCCTGCCCCTGACCACCCGACCGTTGGGCCATGACCAGAATCGCCAAGCAGGGCTGAATACGAACCGCCACCCCCGCAAACTCCTCCCAAATCCCCGGCCCCTGACTATGAACCCGAAAATGCCACCGCCCATGGGTTTGTTCCCCAACCCACCACCTGGACTCTACAGCCCTCTTCCGCCGACCCCCGCGACAGCTCCCACCGACGGCATGCCGACTCCAGCTGCAACGGAAGCCCCCCTCGCGTGCGACGTAGGTGGCACGAGGGACATTGACGATGATGGGGAAAACGACAAGACGACGACGACGACGACGACGACGGCGACGACGACGACGACAAGGACGACGGCGATGGAGGACATCAAAGGGACTGCCCGATGCCTTCGGCCCCTCCCACCCCTCCCCCGCGGAGCGGCCCTGACCCCGTCCCCGCCCCGACGGTCCGCGCAGAAAGGGCACGCGAGGCTCGAAGGGGATCCCAAGTCGACAGAGCTCTGGACGTCGTAGGCCTCGGCCCACGACTCCCGATTGTTAAGGCCCCGTAACACGACCAGCATGCTGACCCCCCCCCCTTTGGCGACACAAGGTGCGTCGCGCGTTCGTCGCCTGTGCGCCGCCCGTGCGTCGGCCGCCGACAGGCCGTCCTCGCGAACGTGCATAGGCAGTGGCCCAGCCGTCGAAAGCCGCGATCGAGTCGGGAACTTCGTCGAAGCCGTCGAGGGAGGCAGCGTCAGCTGGTTGATGTAACGATGATGGCGTAGACGGAGGGCCCGCAGGGGTCTTGGGAGGCCTCGGACTGAGGCGGCGCTCTTCGAGGTAATTTTTGTCCACGGTAGCTTCAGGCACAGTGCGAGGGTCGATCCCGAGAGCGCGGGCACGGGCGCGCACGGCGTCGGAGAACCGATAGCGCCCAGCGGCCGCGACGCTCTCCTGGTCGGCGGTCTTGCGGCAGACCCCGACGCCGTAGGGGGAGGCGTCGCTGCAGAAGGTAGTCGCCGACCACTCTGCTCTGACGTCGGCCCACCATAGCGGTATGAGGGCGGCTGCCGCGCGCAGCTCGGCGATGACCGACGGCCACAGCGGCGCGGCC